CACTTGGCTTAGTAAATGAGACCAAAATTCACTTGGCAAAGAATACTCAATCATGTGAAAGGAAAATAACAAGAAATAGTATTTTTGCTTCCACATGATTGGATGATGGAAGTCACTAAGCTAAGTGAAAATTTCCTTTGCAAATTGAACAGCCTCTTTTCCTAAAGTAAATCAATCCCTAAGAGTTTGTAGTATGCACAGTCACAGTAAAATATATTGGTCTATAAGAGGGATAAGAATTCAACATCTTTGCATTGCTTTAACTTAAAGTAAACTACACAGGCATATTATGCCTAATATGGCATGTATTATCACACATTCAGAGGAATTCATTAAAGCATTAGCACAATTTTTGTGGAAGTAAGGCTGTTCTAAAGATCTTGTGCCAGATTCAAAATGCCCAAAATGCCCTTGGGCAGCTTTACCAAACTGTGAGGCAGATTCAGGTATTTCTTAAAGAGGAACTATACACACTTCCGATTCTGTGATGCGCTGTCCCAGAGCTCCCCTCCAGGCCATCTTTGGGTGGCCAGCTCCCGGGACCCAAACACCGGCCGCTATCATTGGTCGTGCGGGGATGACATCACTCCCATGCACGCATGGGAGTTCCTTCAAATTCACCATTGCTGGATTTGTACAGTGAGCTCCACCTGTGTGACTCACTGCACAGGGGTGGACAGGCACGTAGGTAGCTTTAATGCAGAAGAGACAAAGCATGTTTTTTCTGTATTAGAATTCCTGCCTGTCCACCCTTTTTAATTTTTACCTAAAGTTCCGCTTTAATAGCATCACTTTTATAGAGGAATGCTATTTGTGCACCATACTCTTAAATAATGAAACTGGAGGTAGTTAAAGCCAACTATGAACTGGCATATAGAGCTGGAGTGGCTTTCTCTGTGTGCTGTGTACCGCCTTCCCCTATGCACCAGTCACTGGTTAAGTGCTATTCCTGCATCACAGCTAACAGTTTCTTAGCAATATGTGATGCTTATATTGGGCAGAGCCTGTCGGGGAAGCTTGGACACTAAATCACCATCAGGTCTGCTCTCTCTTTATGGCCGACAGCAGGCAGTAGATGGATTTTATAATCAATAGCAGGTTGTCTTTTGACAATTATAAATAAACAGCGCAAACATAGACCTCTGAATATAATCAATCTATAAAGTGCATAATAATACTAAATATATCATAAATAATATTAATAGTGAAAGTCCATCATAATAATAAACACCAAAAGTTCGTGAAGCATAAAAAATTTGTGTGAAGATAAGAAATCCAAAAATTTTCCAGATGCAAAGAAAACTTCCACCCGTGCAAACCAACATCATCTACACTCACCAGATTTTTGGTGAATGAAACGCCTTTTAGGGATTTAAAGGGATCCTAAGCCCTCTTTTGTATCCACTCTATAGGATTCCTCACCATCAGAATAGGCTCCACCATTCAACCAGGGAGAAAAAAATCTCAGATAGTAAGATATTGATAATTGCTACTATTAATAAAATCAAAGATTAAGGCCACTCACATTTCAACCACTTTAAAAAGGCACATTTATTGAAACAACCTCTTCCAGATGGAAAATGAATGATATACAGCTTCCTCAGGAATCTCACATCACAGCTCCAGGGTACAGCAGAAGCTCCACAGAGAAACAGGTTTTCAGGTTGTGTTTTGGCTATGGATCTCACTGATTGCCTGTTGTCAATCACAAAGGGTGATGGAGTGATGGGGTGATTGGCAACAATTGTCTCTGAATCCCCATCAGGCTCCTCCTACCCAGCTTTAAAAATCCTCTGTGGTGTCTGTGTGACAAGCGTAGAGGTGTTGAGAAAGCTCACTGCACTGTGGACCAAGTGTCTGTAAGGATACTGCTTACAACAGGCACATGGATATGTTATGTGCAAAAACATTTTTCATGCAGAGGCATGGTCATATTTAGTCAATAAAATTAGTGAGCATCCCATTGTTTCAGGGATGCTGTCTTATTTGTCATTAGGTATTTTGACGTCAGCTGGGGATGCGTCATTGGTTGCTAAGACACAGATGGACATCATAATCTAATGAGGGCTCTGAGCTATTACATTTAGTGGTAGTAGTATAACCGTCACTAAATTAATGACTTCCTGAAGAGCCGGAGGTTTGATCTGGCGGGTGGGTGAACAGGTCATTTACATACTGCCCAACTTTTGAACTTGGTAAACAGGAACAATCCTGAAAGGGAGCAGAATGTGGTGTACTAGGTACACCACTGTGAACATTCAGAGAAGCCAGTGCATGTGACTATATGGGTGTGGAATATACCTGGATATACTGTACCTGTAGCAACTTTGCTAAGAATCCCACCTAGCACTGGAAGATTTATCATAATAAGGACATAAACACAGCCAAGAATGTATTGCTGATTAGTAGAATCATGTATGTATTCATTTAGCTATCTGCAAGTGTGAAGTCTATTTAAAGAGTATTAACCCAACAGCTCCAACAGAAAACACAGTGATAAACACCAATTACATTGCAAACACATTTAGATTAACCTATGGAGAAAAGATCATTTGACACCGATCTAAGTCCTTCAACACAAGTAGTTGCTGAAGGATTGAAGGTTTTTATAGGTGGTAAAAATCCTGTTTAATAAATTTACTAAGGTGTATACAGTGCAAGGGTTAGGAGTACATGGAGTCTGTTGCCCATCACAGTAAAGGTGAGTCATTAAACAGCCTTACCTTTAAATGCATGAATAGTTTGAGAGTAAGGCAGCCCACACATTCATCATTTTGTTTTGTTCAACCAGCGGGATGGCAGGAAAAAAAATGCCCCACTTCCCCATCCACACATTCAATTTGGAAGGAGGAATCCTCCTGCTGTGCTATTGTGTTCTGATGGCAGGGATCCTTCAAGAATCCAATGATAAGTGCTTTCGGCTATGAGCACTTATTGATCAGGAAATAATGGCAGGCTGATTTTACAGAAGTCAATTGACAGATCAACTTCTGTACAGGTAGGTTATGATTAAGCATGAGATCGTGTGAAGCGCGTTGACGGGTCTTGTATTCATGTCCTGGTGTTTTGTGTGTCCTATGGATCAATAAATACACACTATATTCATCTCTCCTCCAGTGTGCGGCTGACTTTTCTTCCTATTGCATCATGTGTGGTGGCGAGCCAGAGCCTGCACCTGTTGTGGATTGATCTGGATTGTTTGCCTGAGCGGTATACCTCTGTTCTTTGGATTCAACTTCTGAACAATCAGTGCCCATACATGTACCAAAATGTGTCTGGTCCCTGCTGGACTGGATGAATTTTGATGTATGGCCGCTTTAACCCTGTTAGGCATCCTATACTAAAAAAGATCTGACTAAGAACAGACATTATATGATTTTTGCAGTCAATTTTATTAGCCAGAAAATCCTTTGCAAATATATGTGACTTTTACAGTGTTAGTAGGACTTTGGTTTCTCTACAAAACCTAGACAACTTGTGCATACTTGTCCAATATGTATGCTGTATGGTAATTTCACTGGTCAGGGGAACAACACTTGGGGAAAGCCTAGCCTGGAAGAAAGATCCTGGTATCACCTTGAAACAATATCAGCAAGGTACACAGGGGAGGGTTCTCTGCCTAGTAAAAGTAATAGCAGGCAACTTATGTTACAGCTTCTTAGAGAGGAATTTTGCTTTGAAGACAAAATAGTTAAAAGGTTTGCTTTATAGAAACAAGAAACATGCACGCTGATAAAAATAAGATACTTTTTTCACATATTTCATAGTAAAAATACCAGTAATATTTTAGAATGCTGTCTATGTTTTTTTTAGAATTTATTTATGTTTAGCTAACTAACTTCTACTGACAGAATTGATTCAACCTTATGTTCTTAAGTGAGAAATAGTTACATGTTAGATCATAGATGTTGTACTGTTGCTGAAATAGTGTAGACATTTTTAGAATTCATACAACTCTTAGTTGGTAAGGATAGTTAATGTCATATCCTATTTATGTTATATATTACCACAAGTCCCTAGTTTTATTTTTCATAAGCAGTGCTTTGAGTTATATGCTCAACTATGCCTCCTAATATTACTGATTTGCAAGGATGTACTGTTTCACTATAATAAAATATGCATTTCTTCTGCTTGTATAAATGTACCACTGTGGAGACTTACCCTCACTTCATGTCCCAGTGGCAGCCTGTGGCATTGCATCACCAGGACAGTAGAACAAGAAGAGAGGGTAGATCACCTTAGAAGTATCATAAAACACATCAGAAAGATCTGATACTTCCTCATTCTTTTAATACATAAAAAATAGCTAGAGATGGGAATTAACAAATATGCCGAATACAACGACTTCTGTATGGCCATAAAGTTAAGTAAAATATTACGGTTATAAATGTTAAAGCACATCTAAACGCGAAAAAGAAAATAATATATGCAGCTTACCAGTCCTTGTATGTGGTGGCTACATTAGTTTTCATTTTTCATACTAAGAAAAATTTCAGCAAGTACAGAAAATACCTTTTGATCGTGTCAGAAATTCAGTGTCACAGCTGTCAGCTGAAAAGATAGCGCAGGCATCCTTATTTTTTGTGCAAACTGCTAGACCCATTAACCACTTCAGCTCCAACGGATTTTACCCCCTTCGTGACCAGGCCATTTTTGCAATTTAGCACTGTGCTAATTTAACTGGCAATTACGCAGTCACGCAATGCTGTACCCAAAAGAAATTTAGATCATTGTTTCAAAACTGGGCTTTTTATTTTGTATTGTATAAATGAAAAAAGACCAAAAAAAAAACAATAACTGCTATAAAATATATCTAATAAAAAATTTAAAAAGTCAAATCTCTTTAACTAGTTGCCGACCGCAGATAGCCGAATGACGGCTGCACTGCGGCCGGCCAGTTCTGAGTGGACGTCATATGACGGCCTCCCAGAACGCGCTCTCCTGCACGCCCCAGGGGGCGCGCGCACCCGGCGATCTCCGTGATCGCTGTGTCCTACGGACACAGCTGATCACGTGATGTGGTAAAAGGCCAATCACAGCGGCCTTTTACCACTTGATCAGCGGTGATCACGCTGATCAGAGGGAAATGCAAGTGCCGGTTCTCGGCTGCACTTTCCTCACGCTGTCAGATCATGAGGAAAGTACTGCCGAGAACCGGCAGTTGTCAGAGCGAGGATCGGCACCGATCATCAGGGCACTGATGATCAGTGCCCTGATGATCGGTGCCCAGCAGTGCCACCCGCAAGTTCCGCCCACCTGTGCCCAGCAGTGCGCCCACTAGCTCCGCCCACCTGTGCCCAGCAGATCACCCACCTGTGCCCAGCAGTGCACCCACCTGTGCCACTCTGCAGTGTCACACACCTGTGCCCAGAAGTGCCACCTACCTGTGCACAGCAGTGCCACCCACCTGTGCCCACCCACCTGTGCCCACCAGTGCCACCCACCTGTGCCCACCCACCAGTGCAGCCCAGCAGTGCTGCCCACCAGTGCCACCAGTCAGTGCCCAGGGTTTGTGCCAGTCAGTGCCACCAGTCAGTGCCCAGCAGTGATGCCAGTCAGTGCCGTCTATCAGTACCCATCATCAGTGTCACCTATCAGTGCCGCCTATCAGTGCTGCATATTAGTGCCTCCTATCCGTGACACCTCATTAGTGCTACCTATCAGTGCCCTTTAGTGCTGCCTATCAGTGCCCATCAGTGCCACCTATCAGTGCCCATCAGTGCTGCCTCATCAACGTACATCAGTGAAGGAGAAAAAATACCTGTTTGAAAAATTTTATAATAGAAACAAAGAAACTTTTTTTTTTTTTTTTTTTGATTTTTTGCACTTTTTTTTTTATAGCGCAAAAAGTAAAGCACCCAGTGGCGATTAAATACCACCAAAAGAAAGCTCTATTTGTGAGAAAGAAAAAAGATCAAAATTTCATATGGGTACAATGTTGCATGACCGCGCAATTGTCAATCAAAGTGCGGCAGCGCTGAAAGCTGAAAATTGGCCTGGTAAATAAGGGGGTATAAGTGCCTGGTAGGCAAGTGGTTAAAAATGTAGAAAAAAAATTATTCTGCTACATTTCTTTAGTGAAAAAAATTCCAATAAGTGAATATTAATTGGTTTGCGTGAAAGTTATAGTGTCTAGTTATAGTGTCTACGAGCTATGGGATATAAACTGGAATTTGTATTTATTTAATTTTTAATACTATTGATGGTGGCAACAGTGATGTACAGTGGGACTGTGATAGTGCTGCGGCCAATCTGAGACTAACTGATGCTGGGTGGGAATTGACTAAACAACACTGACATCACCAGTGACACAGTGTAATACAGTGATCGTGCTAATACAACACATTGTCACTGTACTAATGACACTGGCTGGGAAGGGGTTAACATTTAGGGGTAAGCAAAGGGTTAACTGTGGGTCTAACAACATATAATGTGTTTAATGTGTGCTGTTTTAACTAAGCAATGTGCCAGTTTTTATTCCCTGCCTTGCAGGGAGAAAAAAAAAAACAGCACATTGCCGCTGTCAGTAGATAGTTCTGTGTTATTTATCAACACAGGGCTCTCTCCTGTCATTCACTCTGCTGATCAGCAGGTCCTGTCCATAAATCATTGGCTGATTGGCATGTGCTGGAGCGAATGGCAGCAAATCCGGGGCGCGCGCACACCCTCTACCTAGAAGAACCATAATTTTTTTTACTGTGGGCCAGTTGAAAAATGGTTAATCTACCTTGTAAAGGATATGAACAAAAAAACAGATGTGTGTAAAGTGCAACCAGGGGCGGACTGACCATTCGAGCACTCGGTCACTGCCTGAGGGCCCGGGGTCAGTAGGGGGCCCCATGAAGTGCCCCTGGTACCTTTTACAGGCTTTTATGGGTGTGCTTTGAGTGTGGGCAAAGACACGGGAGCCCCATGATCCCCTAATGCCCGGGGGCCCCATGACTTGTCAGTCCGCCACTGAATGCAACTTGTATGACAACCATGACTTCCTCTAAATATACAATGAAAAAATGAGTGTAGACATAAAGGGGTTAATTTACTAAATTTGGAACATGCTAAATCTGGTGCAGCTCTGCATAGAAACCAATCAGCTTCCAGGTTTTATTCTCAAACCTTAAATGAAATAGCTGAAGTTAGAATCTCATTGGCTACCATGCACAGCTGCACCAGATTTTCCACTCCCCAATTTTAGTAAATCAACAGCAACATGACAGCAAATGTGTTATTCAGTGGATTAACAGTAATAATTAAGAAAATGAACAAATAAACAACCTGTAAAAAACATGAATATATTACATTTTTGATTTTGGTTTTAAATATACTTTAAAACATGTTAGTTAAGAAAGAGAACCAATGTAAAAACAAGAAAACCAAAATGTAGCTGGCTCTACCCAACTTACCCAATGCAAAACCACAATACCACCAACCACTATCACATACAGGGGACAGCATCTTGCACTTTAGGTGCAGGATCTTAGGTTATTTTATTAAAATATGTGCAAAGTAATGTTTCCCCTCAGTTTTATATAAACTGGGTTGCCATACAAACTACCATTTCATTAAACAAGCCCTGTATACCGTATGGCCACCTTAACCTCCCTGGCGGTATGATTATTTCAGATTTTTGGTGCTGAAAGCGGTACCATTTTTTTGCATGGAAATATGTATTTTTTTAATTGTAGACCTGTAATTTTTAGGAATAACTCACTGAAATCTGTACGAACAAGAGTCTAGTAAACATCCCGGGTATGATAAAATTTGAAACACAAAATCATAAATTATAATTTAATAAATAACCATAAAAATAATATAAAAATAATAAAAAATTTAATTCAATAATATAATCAAACCAAAAACACTGAAATTTGAAATATAGCGCCAAGTTCACACATTGCTGAGCTCAGTCGCAAAATCGTTTTCAGTGTCTGATGACGAATTTCTCCACGAATCATTATCACTCAATTCTGCAAGTGGTTCTGATTTACTATCGCTGTTCTCTAGCTGATCTAAACCGCTTTTGACCTAAAGGGACACTTTTTGGATGCCATGGACATTTCTCAGTTTCCAGGCAGAAAGAACAGACAAAATGCAGGCAGGGCGCAGGACAAATCATTAGGGACAAGATGTATGTGAAATTGGTTGAGACAGCAATGTTTTACTATGTAAAATGTAAAAAAAAAAAAAAAAAAATGACATTTTTTAAAATCTTTAAATTTCCCGCCGCCTGAGGCGGCGGTGCCCGTACGTCCCGACGTCACAGGGACAGGACACAGAAGCCGGATGCCGGCATCGGCCGGAGGAGATGGCCGGGGACGCTGCAGGGACACATCGCGGGAGCGCAGGGTAAGGTAGGTGAAGAACAAATGCCGGAGCAGCGCCGCATGGTATTCCCGAGTGTAGCACGGGGTTACCGTTTGTGGTACTGAAATGTTACCCCGAGCTACACTCGGGAATACCGCTAAGGAGGTTAAGGGTCATTGCTTTCCTTACACTTAATATAATTGTACCAGTGTGTAGAATAAACTAGAGATTCCCTTGTACCACCTTAAAACATAGGGGGAGAGAGCCTTTAAGTCCTTGTCAACAGGGTTGCTTTTTAGTCCCTTACAATGATACATAAAGACTGAAATAGACAATAAGTCAGTGAGTTTTAGCCTACTAACCATCAACAGTTGCCTATAGGCATCTCACAAATGTAAATTAAAGCTATTCTACCATGTTATCGAATGTCATTTGAATCTGTAAAATCTCACCATTCTTTAAATTATCTGGTGTTTCAGCATAGTGTACATTCGACGACAATTTATATCAAGTCAATTTAAATCAGTTCAATTTGGGCAATTTGTTCAATTTAAAGGGCCCATTTACTGCCCTTCAAACTCTAGGGGGGCTGGACTGTGGCCAGTGGGAGTAGAAAATGCCCTGGCATTGGTGGGAGTAAACAATGCTATAGTCTTGGTGGTCAGTGGGAGGAATAGTGCCCCACAATTAGTGTCTGTGGGAAAATTAGTTCCCCATCTCTGGTGTCAGTGGAAGGAATAGTGCCTTGGACCAGTGGAAGGAATAGTGCCCAAAGGACCACATAAGGATAAGCAAAGGCCCACATCTGGCCTGCAGGCCACAGTTTGGAAACCCCTGGTCTAGATGAACACTGCACCCCTTTTCAGGCCAGCTAAATATTCTTTCCTAATGGGCTGGCTGAATATAAGAATTCAGAGTTATAGGCAAAGGTTTACACTCTGGAGAGGTTGTCAAACTCCTATGCCTGGCTGTGATGTCAGAAGTTACATTTTTATTTCCTTTAAAAAAGCAAAATTATAACTGTGCAGCACTACACATATATATGCATAGATATGTGAATACTATAAATAAAAATATAAAAAAGGTCGGGGAGGAGCTTGCGGATGACGTCACGACGCAACGGAAGGTCGGTTTATCACAGCAGAGATATACATCGCTCCAGGACTCTTCAAGTCGTGAGGCACTTTGCTATAATTTCTAGGGCCTACAGTTGCTATTGTGTCATTAAAATTTTATGATCTTGCGATCAACTGGAGCATATACCTATGTTACTGATTACAGCTGACTTGGAAAGCACAGTTTTCTTGGGTCTTTGGAGATTTTCAGTGGATGTTTTTTATACTTGGTGCGGTCTCACACCTGTCACATGTGAGTGCATATGTGGAAGTATTTGTGATAAATAAAGTTTTTAAAGGATAAACACTATGTTAAGTTTTTTGTTCATGAGGATTACTACCAGTCAGAGGGGTTCTTTGGAGTGAGCCATTGGGATCCACTATTCATCAAGTTGAGTCCAAAACTGGGACCAAAATTGCGGTTAGACCAAGCATTATATGATGTGAGGTCACACTGCTGGAGGTGAGCAGACATTTGGTGGAGGAACTGTGCACTATCTCTGTGTTTTGCAGCAACAGTGATTACAGGAGGAAGGATATTTGTTCAGAAGAAATTCATTGGGACTTTTTCATATGTTTATTTATAGTATTCACATATCTATGCATATATATTTGATGTGTAGCGCTACACAGTTATAATTTTGCTTTTTTATCTTGATTTTGCCCACATATGAGCCAGGGGTTTTTGTGTTTTAGCAGCTACCTATACCTTTTTGGGGGGTGATATCATATTTATATTTATTTTGACCCATAGTAGCACGTAATGTTTTTTTTCACTACATTGTATTTTTATTTCCTTTTTCATCCTGAACCACAGTCAATAAGAAAAAAACACAGCTTTCAATGCATTTTTTGTGCAGAATTGATGACGCAAAAGTCCATATTCAATCCTTTTCCTTTCAGCCAAAAGCTTTTCTTTTTTTTAAATTCTAGGAGCACCCTTTTTATATCTGCAA